ATCCCTAATAATTTAGGGAAATTGTCTAACTTAAAAGCATTTAGTCTGCACTTGCTGTAATTAGATTCTTGTCACCTTCTTGTTTTAAAATATATCATACAAGTTAAACTTAAAACTGACTGCAGCTTACTATGAAAATCAGTAAATACAAATTCTTTTGAAATGCCTACTAGACCTGAAACTAAAATCTTAATTGCAAATAGATTTGATAGTCGTGCAGTGGAAGAATCCGGAGGCTCTTTTTATCAAATATGCTAATAATAGGACTTATGTTCCTAAAATCACACCAAATACAATTAGTATGGATTAGATTTGTAGTAAATTCCTAACTGCTAGACTTTTAAAATGATCTGTATTATAACGAAAATTGCTCTTATGATTTAAAGAATTAAAATTAGTTATTTGAAGCCTTCATTTTTTTCATAAAAATATCATCTTACACTGAAGTACTGTAAAAAGTCAAAAGCAGAAGTCCAGCAAAGATATATGAAATTACACTATATCAGTGCTATAGAGCACAATACTTTGCTTCCATTAAAAGACCCTATTTTTGAATTATCACTGCAATAAGAATGCTTTGCAGTTGATCTGATTAGGCAAAAAAAAAAAGGGATTCACTCTGCAGCCTATGTAGAGAGACAAAACTTTTTATATACATGCTTACATTCAGCTTTAGTTTACTGTGGGCTAACAGTAATTGATATATCGGAAAATTAGGAAAAAAAAACATGAAAACAACAGACAAGATGTTGCAGTTTAAAATCAAGTGACAGATTGGAACAATTTGGTGATATTCAAGTGTGTTTATTTTTTGAAGTTTTTTCACTGAACATTTTCAGACTACATACAACATTTTTTTTTTTTTCAAAGACTTGATCTTTATTTAGGTGTGCAAGTTACTCTGTACAAAACATGTCATAATTGTGAAAGTCTTCCCAAATTTATATTTTAAAATACAATTGTTCTATCACAAACAAATATTATAATTTTATTTTGTATGTTCATGATAAGGATTTCTTTTTATTTTAAAAATTCTGTTCACACTAAATTTGCAACTTTCTGCTTCTTGCTGTGTATTTCATCACTAAAACTATGGTGTTCCCATGACTGAGAAACCTACAGAGAAATGCTCATTTTCTCTTATGTGCTGTATTTCACTTACTTGCTACAATAATTGTGCAACTTCCACAATGAATTTCTAAGGTATCCATAACACTGAGATATTTGCCCGGGAGATGACACAAATCAGGGCAAGATACAGCCTCCGAGGAAAGAGAAAATATGCACATACGTCCCATCAAGTATATTATTCATGCATCAAATCAGAGACACAGTAAACCTGTGTATAAACAAGAACATGGAAACCTAGTGAGAAAAAAAAAAATAAAGAAGAGGAGAATGAAAAGGCAGTCCTACATCTCCCTGGGCAGGGAAAGGCTCTGGGATGGTTAATCACAAGTTTCTTTACATCATCAGCTGCAGATAGGGGTGCTTTGTAACTGAAGAAAATAGCTACTGTGAATTTTTCCTCAGCTCCACAACTAATTTGCCTTACTACTGAGTTTTGAGGTGTTTGCCATAGGTAGAAATTACCAGATCAAGGTGATCAGCAGTTACTCCCTTCAGCACTGGCCATCACAGCCAGCACGGAGAAGCTGCCCAGCGCTGTCCCACAGAGAAGCCTCTTCCCAGCTCCCAGCAGACAGTCTCGTGGATGGCCCGGGAGAAGAGGTCTTTATCTCTTCTCGAGTTCTGGATGTTCTGGTTATCCACACACTTTTCAAATCTCCCTCTAACTCCTGAAACAGCCCCAGCCCCAGGACTGGTGGCACTGAGTTCATGGGTTAATAATACAGCTTTTTAAAAGAGGTCACTTTTACTCAAATTTCTTGCCTTTAATTTCACTTAATCTGAATGTATGAGAAAGGTAAAGACATTTCTCTTTCCCACAGGCTAACCAGCCCCGGTGATCCCTGCCCCTTCTCTTGCCCCTGAGCAATCCCACTGCCCACCCTGGTACGGTTGCTCTGCCTGGGATGAGGCTTCTACAAAGCAAAGCAGAGGCATCTCTTTGCTCCTACACCTCACCCATGTACTTGGGAAAAGACAAGATAAGAATCATGTAAAATATTTAACTCTCTGCACTTCTCCATGAGCTTTCCCACAGGTCAGACGCAGTGTTGTGCTACAGACCCTGCCAGTATCCTGGAGCTAAGCCCAACAGGAGCACTCCTGACTCAACAGCACCAGTGCAAAGCCAGCGTTCCCTCCATCCCCCACCCCACACACCTGAGAGCATTTCCCTTGTGATAGTGGGAATTACCTCCTTCCAAATGGTGCCTCTTTTCTGGTTTTGCGCAGCAATTTTTTAAAAATATAAATATTTAATGCTTGACACAACTGGGATGTAAAAACCTTAGTTTGTTAGTCTAATCTGCACTCCTATCTGGTGAATTTCTTCATACTGGTTCATGATACTTTTTTTATTCTCAAGTTACCTTGCTAGCTGTAAATGAGATTCTCCAGGACAGGAGTTTCTCCAGAATGAGGGGTAGAAACAGCAAATGATAGTGTGGACTGATACAGTTGAGAAGTCTGCCTGTGACTGCCATGGTACGAAAGGCTCCATATAATGATGCTTTACTCATGGATGGAGGAAATATTTGCCCTGCAGCCTGATTAGAAATATTGGCAGAAACTACGGAGCATTTCCTGGGATGTGACTCGCAGGGAAACCCCTTCAAACAAGCACAGTACCGCACACCATGCTCCTGGCAAGGGGCTTTTGCAAAGCAAGGACCGGGATGTTTAGTAAATCAGCTCAAGAGCCACAACAGCTCTGTTTGGGAAAATTACTCTGCTTTTGAAACTGAGAGTATCTCATGCCATAGAGAGTAACAGTTCTTCTGCTTTTGCCTCAAATGTTTTGCTGGGTTCTCTGGAAGTGAGAAAACATTTAATCTTGGAAAGAGTTAACCCTTCTGGGTGCAACACATGTAAAAGGGAAGTTTTTGTACTGGGAAAATGACAGGTTCTGCATCTTGTAGGGAATTAGAAAAAAATACACTGAAAAACAGAATAACATACTTGACATCTCATTTTTTTCAGCTGTTATCATCACCTGGATGAAAACCAGTGACTTGATCCATGCTGTTCTGTAACAGCAATAACTCTATTTTTTGGGCTTCTCTAACTTTAGTGTACAGTGGGAGTTAAATTGTTTGAATCACCAAAGCACTACCACTTTTTCTTTAAAACACATTTTTAAATACTTAAAAGCTAGAAAGATCTATAGCAGATAGTTGCATGGAGTATGAGGGGAAAACAGAGACATAATGATACAGTGAGCGAAGTCCAGTGGCCAGAGATACTGGGATATTTTATTGCCTGATTTCTGGGAAGCACTGTTTCTGTATGTGTTTTACATTTGTATTTTGTGTAGCTAATATGGCTCCTTTTTCTCAGTCTAAATTTTCGCTTTTGAATTAGACATTCAGCTGCTGCATTTTAACATTCAATGGCATTTTGTAGGTTGGAATATTCAGAAGAGGATTCCTAAAACACAAGCATTAAAAACATATCCCATGCCTTAAATAAGACACCCACTTTTCTGCTCACAAATTTCGATATCATCTACATGCATCACTAGCTTACCTTTTCTGTGAAAATGCATTTCTATGCCATATGCAGGTGTCATACATTCAGCAAAAGTAGCAGGACTGTCACAGATTACATAATTCACATCATTCATGGGTTACGCTTCTGAGACCTCAGGGGAATCTTTGTTCTTGGCTGGTCTCTTGCCTCACTCCGTTCTCAGCTGCTTTGCTAATCGAACTAGCCTCTGTATGTTATCGCAGATGGCTAAGCACAAGTTAAATCCTGCCTCTTCACATACTCAGTGGCCCACTCATCAGTTTCTAAAAGCATGTTGGGTCAACTTGTCCAACTACAGTTTGTCACTCAGTTTATCCATAAAATTCAGGAAGGTCTGAGATGGCACCGAGTGACCAGCCCCTGCTGCCAGCAGTCGGGCACATCTGGGCCCAGCCAGGGCAGGCAGACCAGAGAGAAGCTGTCAGGGGGAGCGAGGAAGGCAGCCACAAAAGACTCCCTATTTTCATGTGCACTTACATCCCAATCTTAACAGGTTGAAGCAGTAATAGGCAGGTCATAGCTGAGCAACATACTTCTCTGCAAACATTTGCCTTAAGGGAAGCAGACTGATTTTTCTTGCATCCTCTGAAATGGGATCTGTTACCACACAAACCTGTACCTGAGTTCATGATAAAGAGGCTTGTTTTAAAATAGGATTATTCACAGGCAAATGCAACTTTAGAAAAAAACCTGTTTTATTACACGATTATTACAGGATATAAGAAAAAGAGGTGCAAGATACACTGACCTGTAGTCCTACCTGGGCTGAAAACCCCAGCAGATGAAGGCCAACTAACTCCTGAAGCCAGCCAGCATCAAATAACTTGCTTTGACTGTTCTTGATTAACTCCCTCTGAGGGCACAAAACCATCTTTTTCCTAATCATCTAACGGGCATTTAAAAAATGGACTAAGATAGCAGAGGAACAAGGCTGTCTCGTAAAAAAAAAAAAAAATTGTGTCCACAGAAGGACATAATCTTATGTGGGGAATTTGAAGTGCATTACTTTATATGCATTAATTTTCCAATATAGTTCAGCAAAAGGAAAAGGTAAAAATTGTCCTCAAACTTTGTGTGACAGCTCTTTTTCCCCAGAACATCAACAGGCTGCAGCAGGCTCTATTCCTTGCTGCTCTGGCCAGTGCTAGCCCAGGTGTAGCCACGGGAAGCCCCTGGGGTACCAGCCTGTGGGACAGAGCAGTCGCATCACAGCTGCACCCTCACACTTTCTGTAAAAATGCAACCTCAAAAGCAGAGGTTTACCTGTGACCTTGGAGGATTATGATGAGCTCGGCAACTGTAAACCACTTCCCAGCAGTACCTCTCAGTAACGCTCTGGATGGGCTAAGAGGCAGCAGTGGGCGACTGGAAGAATGACTCCTTTAGTTCCATAAATTCATATGCAATCCTCATACTGTGGCTTAGGCGTGGATGTGATAATTGTTTAACTGAAAGATTACTGCTGGGAGCAAGGTAAGGACTGTCATTTCCCTAATGCCACTGATATTTTAAAACGTTTATTAGCATATGTAGTATCATCTCTTTGGGTTATTTTTCTTTTATTATTAAATTCCACATAAGCTAACAACTGAAATGTAAATTAATTTATGCTGCAAATTTGGCATTGACTGTATTAGGCCATTTTCTACTCAGTGACAGCACTGATGTTTTACTCAGTGAGTGAGTGAGCTTTAGAAGAGGTGTGCTAAACAGTTACTGCTCCATTTTAAGCAAACCGATGTCCTTATTGCTCTGTGTCAAAGTCTGCTCTGTGCCTAAGGTAAGAAGGAGTTGGAGTTCTGCTGTGTTAGGTACTGTACTTTGTCTCTTTTACAGTATAAATATAAGTGAAGTGTGGGTTTAAGAAATCAAATATTGGGAAACAAGTGAATGGAAACCTTTCCCACTTACACGTTGACTAGTCCAAACATTCGGTAAAACGGTGTGATGGTTTGTCCAAGTGGAAGAACAGCAAAAGTGTCCCTTTGGAAAATGATGAGTCTTAACAAGGGACCGAAGGGAAAGCGCTCCCGCTTTCCTACAGCTTTATTTTTCCTCCGGGAGATAATAATCATTCAGGTGCCTTCGGAGAAGCACGGGGTGGGGTCCTGCGAGTTCTCCCCGCTCAGCAATCCGGGTGCAAAGCCGCAGGGCGCCCCTCCGGCAGCGCCCAGCCCAGCGCGCCCGGGCTCCGGGGGCCGCCCGCCCGGCTGGGCTGCGGCAGCGCTGGGGGGGGGGGGGGGGGGGGGGGTGGCTGCAGAGCCCCCCGGGCGCCCCTCATCCCCGGGGAGCCGGACGGCCGGCCGGGCCCACGGGCCCGCGGGGGCGGACTGGGCCCCCCCGGGGCGCGGGCTGCCGGCTGGGGCAGCCCGGGGGTAGGACGGAGGGGCCCGCGGGGCTGGGGCTCGGTGCGTCCGTCGGACCAACCCGAAAAACCGCACAGGAGGGGTGTCCCGGGGGTACGCGTGGGCCGGGGCACGCGTGTGAGACCGCATCCCGGGAGGAAGCTGCAAGGGACGGGGCAAGGCACACGCGCTCGTGCAACATTTTCTATTTGGTGTCGGTCAGTATGATAAAAGTCTAAAGTCCCTGTGTACAGGGTCACACCAGCCACTTCCAAAGTGCAGCCACAGCTCAGATGGCTTGTAAGCAGCTCTGTACCAACTGTGGCAGTACGGCAGATACCTCCACTCTTTGCAGCTAAGTTGTGAGTTACAGACACCATATCTCTTAAATACCTGTCATAAGACAGAGCTTTTAAAAATACAAAATAACTTCTCAAAAAGGTAATTAAAATTAATATTTTCGATTTCAAAATTTTGTTTCAATTTGTTTCAAACCTGAGTAAGAGTTTAATACTAGATGCAATCTAAGCTGACTGATCAGGACATTCTTCTGTTAAAAATATCCTTCAGTATAAAGTTCAAAATTACTGTATTGGTATTACAAATAATATGATTTATTAATGTGTGAGTTATTATATTAATAAAATTTGAGGCATCATTATTTAATAAGTTGCCAGCACATTCTGGATGAAATTTCCTAAAACACCCTAATAAAACTGAAGGTGAAAACACAGACCCTGATCTGCAAATGTTAGAGGAATAGGATTTAATCTCTCTCTTCCCCAGCAGTTCTGCTTAAGCAGGGTGATGAGCAGGAAAAAGACCCTTTAAAGACTCCTGTGACTTCTCTGTGCCTTACATACCGGAAGAGACAGCTGACCTGCACGGGAAAGTGCTATAGCTCTGCAGAAGGATGAGAATTCTTTGATGCAACCTTAAAATTATACCTCAGTATTAATTGCTAAAGAATAAAGTCAAGAAGAATCAGTATAAATTCAGAGACAGTTTAGTGTGACTGAAGCTAAGAGATACTGTGATGTGTGATTTAAAGAGCTCATAAAAGCAGACAGCTGGCTTTAGAATCTATGGAAAGCAATAAAGCAGTTAAAAATTCTCCCAGCTGTAAGGCCTATAGATTTCCTTATCTTAAATTCCTTGGCCAAACCCCTGGAGCAAAGTGCGGTGCGCGTGATGGGAGTTTTGTCTTTCAGCCTGGGGGCTCCAGGGGCAGTTTCCCGGCCCCTCTCTCTGACCCCCCTCGGAGCACGGTGTCTCCACTATAGGGGAGCTTGTCTTGGCGGCAGTGTCTAGACATTCCCAGCTACTATCCTTCCTGACAGTCTCATGCCAGTGGTAATTTAAAAATTGTTTGGGATAGGCTGTGCCTCATAGACACAGGGAGCCAATAATAACCCCCAGTTCAGTGACCCTGGTCGGAGCATCAAAAAGACGGTACAGGCAACCTCAGTTCAGCATTGGGTCAGGAATTGTGACCTCCTCTGACCTTTCTTGTAGATTTAAAATTGTTTTGAGAAAGAGAAGAATATAAAAGATACAACTCCAGGCAGTTCTGAAAAGCACTCCAGCTTCCTGTACTGTACACATGCATATAAGTAACATGTTTAAACAGATGCAGCTCTGGCAGGCCTGAAAAATTAGGATTTAGATGCTTTCTACATTTTTTTAATGGAGTGTACATTGCTTGTATTCACTTTGAAAACTCTGAAGTGAAAAGACAGTCTATGAAAACATCGTTTTCACTGTATTTAATAGAAAAGACAAAAAAGGAGGTCAGGTAAGATTATGGTTTTTTAAAATGGAGAATGAGCTAAGCAAAAAAAAAAAATATTAAAAATATATCAGCTTATGTGGATTTTTCAGATGTATTACAGAAAACACTGTCCAGTGGATCAGTTGTGTATACCAGATGAAAAAAATTAACACTGAGATTACTAGACAAATTGCCTTGTAAGAGTAAAATGCATACAATTGTAGGCTGGTTGGTTTTCAAAGGTTTCCTTTGTGTACACAGTATTTGCAGTCACAACCAATAAAACAAAATATACTAGCACTTTATTTGTGGTTTTGGTTTTGGAATTGCATAATGGTGACTAATATTTTCTCAAAACCTACTTTATAGTGTTTACTTAGCAGAATTTTCATGCACTGTACCTGGAAAGTATGAAATGTACTCTGTGTGCTTCCAAAGGGTTGTGAAGTCTCAGGAAGAGGTTTACCAGTCTACGGAAAGAGAGCAGAGAGTGTTTCTCCTCTCTGGGTTTTTATATGGGCTGGTACGGATCAGAAGCACACTGACCAGGAGAGGGAAGGGAAGAGTAAAGTTACAGGAGCTCTCAAAGAAACATAAAAGTGTAGAGCAGGCAGATGAACTGCAAGCTCCAGAAGAACTATATACTGATTTTACAGAGGCAAACTCAATTTAACAACACCAAGGACATCAATGCTGTTGCTGTTTACAAGAGAAAAAACGTAAAACATTTTGCTACAGATATAAGACTGTCAGAAAAGCTCAGCACTAACATGTCACAGAGCCCTGGGCTCTGTGCCATTCCCAGACACAGTAGCATGTTCCAAGGTGGCATCCTCAATCAGCTTCTGACCATGCCCAGGACACCAGCACTCTTCTCACTGGCTGTGCACAGCTCCATCCTGGAAAAGCAGAGGTAGCCTCTGTGAAATGTTGGTCTTGAACTAAATACTCCTTGGAAATACATCAGAAGTTCTTGCTATGTCAAAGTTACTGCTTAAGACTCTCCTCAAACACAGGCAGCTGTCTCTATACTTTGAGACAGCTGATTATATTCCATTTATATTCTAAAGTTGTCTCCTAAAGCTTTAGAGATACACACTGATTCCATTTTTGTATTGAAAGGTTACAGCCTGATCTAATCATGGGACCACACGAGACAGTGGTCCTGCAGTTGCATCTGTAATTTCCTAATCCAGACCTGGCAAAACTAAGCTTTTGCAGCATAAACCATTCTTAGAAGGCTATTCCTCACCAAATTTCTTTATTTAACTAGAGATAAGTTTGTCGGTGTTCTCACTGTGAGGAACTACTGGCCTAGAGCTTAAGCAAATTCTGTAAAAGCCAACTCTTTGGTAAAATTCCTAAAGACTTCCTATTCCCATAGACCAGGACAAGAAAGGGGTTGCAAGGTCTGATGTCATCTCTGAGTGAGCTGAGACACGGTATCTGTTTGCCAGAAGCCATTCATATTGCAAATATTTTATATTTTTTTTTTCTTCTCCAGCCTTCTATGGCAGCAGCAGTTGCTGTAGAAAAGCAACTGGAGGAAGCAGGCAATTCTAGTAACCTACCTTTCTTAGCACACAGTCTGTCATGGGCCTGGATCTGCTCAGCTCTTAATGATGCAGAACTCACCCAGAATACACCTTTGGTATCTCTTTGTAATCAGTAATGGCAATTTAAAACAATAGCTATATGGGTTTTTTCCACCCTGTTTGAAGTATCACAGCACTAACCTGCTCTTTGATGCCAGAGTATGTGCTCACTAGGGTGTGCAATGTCATTAAACTGATCCAAACATCACAACTCACAATGACTGAATACAACAAAAATCTCTGGTTCCCATGGATTCCTTGAAGCTGCAGATTATTAAAGATTACCCGAAATTACTGTTCTCGATGCACACAATTATAGAGTCGCATTGCCTGTCAGAGACAAGTACCATAGAAACAGCGCTCCCCAGCGCTTTTATTATAAAGGTGCTTTCCCTCCCTTGTGACCTGTAGATATTGCGACTTTTCAATGGGAGTAAGAGGAGAAAATTCTACAGGCTAAAGCGATCACTGAACCATGACAAGTAACTTGTACAGGGCCTGCACCAGGCTGCAGCCCACACGATGGCCAGCACTTCCCCAGGAAAGGAATGAGAATCTGAACACCATCAGTAAAAGAGGGAAAACCAGTCTTGAACCTCCAAAGACAAGGCTGTAGCACTGTGTGCTAAACAGAGGTGGCAGGGGGCTGGGAAACAATCGTGCTTAGTGTCTGCAGACGCAAGAAATGCGACTCAGCGTAAGAGAGCCAAGCAGGCAGTGGTGCGCAGGCCCCCGGCCGAGAGGCACATTCCTGCACAGGAC